GATAACATAAATATTGATCTAACCGGATTACTAATGTCCAAATTAATAATCCTATGATCAAGAACAAATTTAGATTAAATTGTAAGTGACTTTACTCTCTTTATCATGATCTCTATCACGATGACAAGTCTCAAAATTTAATCAAGGACCTTATCAAATTAATCAAGCAATTAATAACAATGATAAAAGAATATCAAATGNAAGAATGCCATATATTTTTATATCGAATAACGTTCACAAAAATATGTTCGAATCATCAAATATGAGATTGGATCTAGGGCATATCTACTATATCCCTAACAATCTCCCACTTGCACTAGTGTCAATCGCTTTTGTACTTCATTCCCAATTTTCACTTGCGCTTGTAAAACTCCTTTGCACCAAGAGCTTTAGTGAATGGGTATAGAGCATTTTCCTTTCCATCAACCTTTTGAATCTAGACGTCTCCACGTCCAATGATTTCTCTTATNCTAGGGCCATAGGTGTCTAGTATCAAAGTACAACAAATAACTTGTCAATTACTATGACGATCTCAGGTCAAAGGAAATTCTTACATCACATTCTTCAAGAGAATATCCTATTGACAGTTTATGGTAATTCTAACCATTAGGAATTATCCAATGAGTCGGTTCAATGATCATATCTCTATATGCATCATCTATCTATGTAATTTAGTTAATGAGATCAACTAATCTTTATCCCATAAAGACGATCACATAAATATTGATCTAACCGGATTACTAATGTCCAAATTAATAATCCTATGATCAAGAACAAATTTAGATTAAATTGTAAGTGACTTTACTCTCTTTATCATGATCTCTATCACGATGACAAGTCTCAAAATTTAATCAAGGACCTTATCAAATTAATCAAACAATTAATAATAACTATGATAAAAGAATGCCATATATTTTTATATCGAATAACGTTCACAAAAATATGTTCGAATCATCAAATATGAGATTGGATCTAGGGCATATCTACTATATCCCTAACAATCTCCCACTTGCACTAGTGTCAATCGCTTTTGTACTTCATTCCCAATTTTCACTTGCGCTTGTAAAACTCCTTTGCACCAAGAGCTTTAGTGAATGGGTATAGAGCATTTTCCTTTCCATCAACCTTTTGAATCTAGACGTCTCCACGTCCAATGATTTCTCTTATCAAGTGATCCCTTGGCAGAACATGTTTGGATTTTTGGTGTGATTTTGGTTCTTTTGCTTAAGCAATGGCTCTAGTGTTGTCACCTAACAATGGAATTGTACCTTCTATCGAAGGAACCATACCAAGTTCAGTTAAGAACTTTTTCATCCATACATCTTCCTTAGCAGCTTCACTAGCTGCTATATATTCTGGTTCAGTCACTGAATCAGCTACTGTATCTTGTTTGAAACTTTTCCAACTCACTGCACCACCATTTAAGGTGAATACATAACCAGAAATAGATTTGCTATCATCTCTATCTGAAGAGAAACTTGCACAGTATAACCTTCAAGTTTAATTCAGAATCTCTATAAATGAGGAATTGGTCTTTAGTCCTTCTTAAGTACTTAAGAATGGTCTTCACCACCTTCCAATGTTCCTCACCAGGATTTGACTGATATCAGCTAGTCACTCCAAGTGCATAAGCCATATCAGGATGTGTACATGTCATGGTATACATGATAGCTCCCTTTGCACTTAGCGTATGGGATCCTACTCATGCGTTCTCTCTGTTCAGGTGTTTTAAGATAATCCTCCCTACTTAGAGTAATTCCAGTGCCTATCGGTAGATAGCCTATTTTGGAATTATCCATGTTATACCTTTTCAAAATGGTATCAATGTACAAAGACTGGGAAAGTCCAAGCAACTTCCTCGATCTATATCTATAGATCTTTATTCCTAATATATAAGTTGCTTCTCCCAAGTCTTTCATGGAGAACTATTCAGATAGCCAAATTTTGGTATTTTGCAATGCCAGTGTATCATTCCCTATGAGCAATATATCATCAACATACAATACTAAGAATATAATTATGCTCCCACTAATCTTTTTGTACACAGAAAGTTCTTCGCCACATATAACAAAATTGAACTTTTCAATTGTCTTGTTAAAGCGAATATTCCAACTTCAAGATGCTTGCTTTAGTCCATAAATGGATCTTTGTAGCTTGCAAATCTTATTATGATCATGCGAAGATGTGAAACTTTCAGGTTGTGTCATGTACACATCCTCTTCTAGCTCAGCATTAAGGAAACTGTTTTCACATCCATTTGCCATATTTCATTGTCAGAACCTTGTGTCGCCTCTTCATAGGTCTCAGGGTCATCATCATTATGATCAACCTCATTTGATACATCATCTTTTACCATTAGATTTAATCTAGTTGGTACATGACGTTCTCATATAGACCTTCTAAGAGGTTCTTGTACAACTTGTTCACCTTCTGCTGGATTTTGTTGTTGTTCAATTTGGTTTGGAACTGGTTCATTAACCTGTTCTTGAACTACGTTTAGTTCTTGAACTTCAACCATTGAAGATGGCAACTTCCTTGTCAACTTCAAAACATCCAATAAAGGTTCTTGAACTTGGGTCTCATGATCTTTACATTGTGTTGATTCATTAGTATCTTGAACTTCATCAAGTTCTATTTCTCCATTATAATTTCCTTCTAAAAGAAATTCCCTTTCCAAAAAGGTTGCTCCTCTGGCCACAAACACTTTATGGTCAGAAAGGTGATAGAAATAATATCCCATTGTTTCCTTGGGATACCCAATGAACCTACACTTATCAGATCTTGAGTCAAGTTTATCAAACTGTAGTCTCTTAACATAAGATGGACAACCCCAAACTTTAATATATTTAAGTTAGGCTTACATCCTTTCCATATCTCATATGGTATTGTAGAGACTGACTTAGTGAGAACTTTATTAAGTAAGTATGTTGCTGATTCCAAAGCATATCCCCATAAATTTATTGGAAGATCAGTGAACCCCATCATAGATCTCACCATATCTAATAAGGTTTGATTTCTCCTTTCAGATACACTATTGTGTTGTGGTATCCCTGGAGGTGTCCACTGGGAGAGAATCTCATTCTCTTTGAGATACCTAGTAAAATCTTCACTAAGATATTCTCCACCTCTATCAGACCTTAGTACTTTGATACTTTTACCAGTTTGTTTCTCAACTTCACTATGGAACCTTTTGAACATTTCAAAAGATTCAGATTTGTGTTTCATAAGATACACAAATCCATATCTTGACATATCATCAGTGAAGGTGATGAAGTAAGAATATCCACCTCTAACTTGAATTTTCATAGGCCCACAAACATCTGTATGAATTATTCCCAATAATTCAGAAGCTCTTTCTCTACTTCCAGTAAATAGAGATTTGGTCATTTTTCTTTTGAGACAAGATTCACAAGTTGGATCAAAATCATATTTGTCAAGGTACCCTTCCTTGTACAACTTGTTAATTCTTTTCTCTCCAATATGACCAAGCCTATAATGCCAAAGGTATGCATGATTTACTTGATCATCTCTTTTGCTCTTAAGACTTGAAACATGCATAATCGAATTAGCATTCACATTAGGTAAGACATAAACGTCATGTTGGAGATAGCCATTCACATATAAATTATCACCATAATAAATAGAGAAAATAACGTTGCCTATGTTAATGTGAAAACCACATTTGCCTAATATAGAAGCTGAAATTATGTTCTAAACAAATTTAGGAACGTAATAACAATCATCCAACATAAGTACTTTTCCCGTAGGCATTATTAAAGAAATTAATCCTACAGCTAAGACTGCAACTTTTGCGCCATTTCCAAATTGTAGATTAACTTCTCCTTTCTTTAGTCTCCTACTTATCTTGAACTCTTGCAACATATTGCAGATGTTATGATGTAACGACCCGACCGGTCGTTTTGAGCTTTTGCACTTTGATCGCCAGTTCTCGGGCATGACTTGCCCCGTGTGATGTATTATGACTTATGTTAATGGTTGGTTTGGGTTTCCAGGAAAATCGGAATGAATTTGGAAGAACAATTCTCAGTTTGAAACTTAAAATTTGAAAAGTTTGACCAAGATTTGACTTGTTTGTATATGATCTCGGATCGGGATTTTTATGAATTGGTTAGCTCCATTAGGTGATTTATGACTTAGGAGCGTGATCGGAATACATTTTTAGAAGTCCGTAGAAGGTTTAGACTTGAATTGGCGAAATTGATATTTTGGCGATTTATGGTTGATAGACGAGATTTTTATATAAGGGTCAGAATGGAATTCCGAGAGTTGCAGTAACTTCGTTGTGTCATTTGGGATGTGTTGCAAAATTTTGGGTCATTTGGACGTGGTTTGGTTGGGCTTTTGATTAAAAGCGTATTTCAAAAGATTTTTAGAAACTTAAGCTTGAATTCGATGTAATTTGGTAGATTTGATGTTGTTTGAGGTGTTTTGATGATTGGAACAAGTTTGAATAAGGTATTGGGTTATGTTTGTACTTTTGGTTGAGGTCCCGGGGTCCTTGGGATGATTTTGGATGGTTATCGGAAAAGTTAGATGTTGGTTGCAACTTCAGAATTGCTGCTTCTGGTATTTTCGCATCTGCGGTTTGGGGACCGCAGATGCGGCGCCGTAGATGCGAGTGATTCATCGCAGAAGCGAAAAAGGGTCAGATGGGATGAGACCAAGGAAGCGGCTATGTGGACTGCATCTGCAAAGCCGCAAATGCGGGGAAAGGATCGCAGATGCGAGATTTGGCCGGCAAGTGATTTCCGCAAAAGCGGAGGGAGAACCGCATATGCGGTACCGCAGGTGTGTCTTTGGACCGTAGAAGCAGGTCCTGGGTCATAAGTGAAATCTGCAGAAGCGGATGTTTCTCCGTAGAAGCAGAAGCGCAGATGCGCTTACTGGATCGCAGGTGCGAAAGAGCTGGGCAGAAGGTATAAAAATGCCCTTTCGCGATTTTCAGTCATTTGTTCATCATTTTTGTGCGATTTTGGAGCTCCAAGCTATGATTTCAGGAGGGGATCAAGTGTATACGCAGAGGTAAGCTATTTGGGCTTTATACATTGTGTTTATGGTGATTATATCATTCTTTAATCATGAAAATTTGTGGAAATTAGAGGAAGAGTTGGGAAATTAGGGCTTGAAATTGGAGAGTGAATTTTTAGAATTTGAGTGACCATATGAGGTCGTATTTTGGTAAATTTGATATGTATGAACTCATGAGGAGATAAGGAATCTAATGATGTGAAAATTTCTGAGTTTCAAGAAGTGGGCCCGGGGCTCGGGTTTTGCTAATTTCGGGATTTTTGGTATTTTCCGATTGTTTTCGCTTGGGCTTTGTTCCCTTAGCATATTGTGACATATTCGTTCTGATTTTGGATAGATTCGACGTGCGTGGAGGCTAATTTGAGAGGCAAAGGCATCGCGAGCTAGAGAGTTAGCCGGTTCGAGGTGAGTAATGATTGTAAATGATATCCTGAGGATTTGAAACCCCGGATTGCACATCGTAGTGCTATATTGAGGCGAGACACGCGCTTGATGATGAACATGGGGTCGTTTAGCATTGGGGATTGTGACTTGGTCCATCCCGATTGATGATTTTACCGCGTATTTGACTAAAACCTGTTTGTTATCATCATGGTTTGGGCTGATTGCCATATTTGGGCTTCATGCCAACTATTTGAAACCTCTGTGGATTTTTATCAGTATTTCCTCACTGTATTGATTTATTACTTGAACTCAGTCCTGTTGTTTCCTACTGTTTTTATAACTCAGCCACTCTTACTCAATTTTAAGACTTAAATGATATTTCTAAATGATGTTTTGGGCTGAGAACTACTGTTTTACTAATGCCCGAGGGGCTTGTGATGATTTTCGGACTGAGTGAGACCGAGGGCCATATGTGAGGATATGCTGAGTGATATGAGGCTGAGGGCCTGAGATATTTTTATACGCCATGAGGTGGCTTGAGTGATGTGAGGCCGAGGGCCTGAGATATTTTTATACGCCACGAGGTGGCTTGAGTGATGTGAGGCTGAGTGCCGAGTGATTTAAGGCTGAGTACTGAGAGATGATGCCATGAGGTGGCTTGATATAGTGCTTGGGCCGTAAGGGGCCCCTCCGGAGTCCGCACACCCACAATGAGCGCGAGTACCCATTGTGATCTAAGAGTGAGCCCGAGGGGCTGGTACTGTTCTGAATGGTTGCCCGAGGGGCGGATTTCTATTTGTTAATTACCTGCCAAATTACTTGTTTTACTGGTTGAAAAAGGAAATTTACTCGATATTTTCACTGATTTACTGTTTTAATTGATTTTTCTGCCTTGGTATAGAATGCTTTGTGCTTTTACGTGTTTTCTTGCTTTCAGCCATTATTTATATTTATTACTCACTGGGTCGGAGTACTCACATTACTCCCTACACCATGTGTGCAGATTCAGGCATAGCAGATCCCGTTCTTGAGTGTTGATCCTCCCAGTCCAGGCGGTGTTCCGGAGACTACGAGGTAGTTGTTGGCGTCCGTAGCCCCTATGTCTCCCTTATCTTATTAATTTTATGTTCTTCAAACAGTTGTACCAGATATTATATTTAGTAGACTCGTATCAGGACCCTCAGTTGCTCATGACTTGTGACACCCCGGTTTGGGCTGTGTCGAGATGGTTTCTTCTGTTGTTATCTATATTTTCGCAAATTGTTGCTATTAAATCATGATTTAAACCGTTTTATGGTAACTAACTGCTTAAAGAAGTATACCATGTTGGATTGGTTGGCCTTGTCTTCACGAGAGGCGCCATCACGACCGGGTTCGGGGTTAGGGTTGTGACAAGTTGGTATCAGAGCCTAGGTTACATAGGTCTCACGACTCATGAGAAGGTTTAGTAGAGTCTCACAGATCGGTACGGAGACATTTGTATTTATCCTCGAGAGGCTGCAGAACCTTTAGGAAAACTTCGCATTCTTGAATTCTTATCGTGCGTCCTTTGATTCAACCTGAAATGTAACTCTTTGAATTCCTTCTACACGTTCGTATGTGCGCATGAGCGCTCAGTATCAGATGTGCATTGATGGCTTGAGATTACTTGATTGAGGGGCGATATGTGACCTTTGTAAGATGATATTGGGCCAGTTTGGAGGACTTGAGGCCACATCTTTGCCTATAGCTTGAGCACCGAGGTGATGATTGTGTGAACAAGTGTTTTTGAACTTATATGTTCGGTAGTGTCCCTACTAGTGGGAGTGACGGTTGGATAACTATGTGATGA